ATGAACTTAGAGTTCAGGAAAGAACAGAAAGAAAAGAAAGGTACTCCAAGGAAAGAGCATTTTATTTCATCTTTATTGTTATCCTTTGCGTACTTCTCAAATCGTAGTCGCCCTTCAGGCGATCAAACCTCAATTCTTAGTGGCCCTGGGCTCTTTTTAATCGCCACTGGCGAGCATGCGACTGCCAAGTTTTAACCCTGAGATATTAATGGTTTTGAAATTCCAACAATAAAAATACCAGGAAACAAAACAGGATGGACTAGTCTTTTAGTTGCAACCTGCACTTTTACTCCTTAGGTTTAGATCTTAAAATATGGCTTCAGGTCTGTAAAGTTACTGGGACTTTCGAGAAAGGAGCCCCCAGCTGCAGATGGCAATTGAGTCAGGCTATGAGATCTCTGTCTTTGTTCATGTTGAGCACCTCTACTTTAAATTTAAGGCACCTGATCTTCAATACTCTTATCCCCTGATCTTCAACACTCTTATCCCAGTTTGTACTAACAAAGGCAGATGTCAACCCCTATGTAACTTTCAATACACAATACTTACAAAATTGCTATAATCTGTTGTAGGTGTTGGAGGTGCTGGCCAGTCTTCCCCACCAGACGAGACACTCTCTCGAGATTGTACAGATGCAGATCGCTCATGAAACTAATAAAAGAAATAACATTACTTATGAGCAGAAATTTTGTGCCGAGCCAGCTTTTGTCATTCTTAGATAGCAATGTTATGTGTAGATGAAATAATATTTCCCCAAACAAGAAACTTTACGAACAAATTAACTATGAATGTGTTGTTTCCAATACAATCAGTATGTCTTACATTGCTAACACTTAAGGTAGCCGAACACAGTTTTTGCATGTGCTTTTGCTGATGCAATTCAGCACACGCACAAGGATTGGAAACAACAAATATGCTGTCAATAGAGTGATCCAGCTATNCACCAAAGCATAAATAGTTTAAAAGTAATGGTGAATTAGGCATAGGCACTTGAAAACTGTGTTCGGCCACTTTAAACTGGGCCACTTTGGTAGAAACTTGACAACTCAAAATGATAACTGTGAACAATAGTTGGCACTCCTTTTCTTAAACAGACTGATGACATGGAAGCATCCAGATGCAACCAAACCTGAACCAAATAAAGGCAAAAAAGGTCTGTTTTTACTTTAATTTGTCTACATTTACTATCAACTCCTCAGTAGTGAATACAATCTACAGTTCCCATTCGTGACAGCAAATTATCAAAATAATTATGATATTTGCTGTCAAAGATGAGATCTAGAGGCATAAAATTCAGTTTGCATTTAGTGAAACCACACTGAAACCGTTAAAAACTACTTAACAGATAAGGCTTACTGAGGAAGAAATATTCTGGGTATCAATGTTAAAATTATTATGTGTATTCTTAAACTTTATTGGTTTGTTTACAAAAATGCTCCCCATTCTTTGTTCTCCTGACTATTATCATTTAGATTAGTTAATTTGTTCCAAGTGGCCCAGTCCAAGAGCTCACAATGTAAGCAGTCCTAGGAACAACCTACCTTAAGGATGGGTTTTCAACTAAATTTAAATTAAGCCATATCCAAAATAACAGTTTTCAGACAACTATCTTTTTCAACCACAATTTAAGACTGCTACTGACAGCTTGTGACTTAAGCTGGAATTCAGTTTGAGGTAAACAAATATTTAGTATTGTAATTACTAATCTGAATCAAAAGAAAATAACAATCAAACTGGCTTATCGATTGTTAAAAGTTGACATCACAATAGAAAAGTGTATTTGTTTTCCTCTAAACTTAGTCATGATATAGGAATATATGCATTGTAATAACATGTTGCAGCTCTAATCAGTCACCAGTTTGAAATTTTTATACAAACATCTCTAAGTATAATCTGAACTAAAGGAAAATTAATAAACTGGCTTAGAGATTGCTAAACTTAAAACAAAATAAATGACCTCACAACATTTCAAGTTGTATCTGTTTTTCCCCAACTCAGTTATGATGACGAGGGAGTAAGTATGAAGTATGATTAAGTAAACACAACACAAGTGTAAAGACTGTCTGCATAAGGCATGGTGGAAACAATAAGGAAATTGTCACAACATGACTGAGCATACATGTACGCAGATGTACAGTGCACGTGTATGAGCAAAATGTGCAAAACATTCCACCTAAAAGGTGACTTGAAGGTGACTTGCATGAAGGCGCAAAACCATGTATAAGACCAAAATATGCAGAATGCAAGCAAATTTGGCCTGCATGTTAGCATGGCAATTAGCAGTAGTAACGGTGCATAACAGATTGATAACCACTGTGCAGAAACACAAGTGAATAATGGCCTGCATATTACATTCTGTTAGCAGTGGCTGAGTATAATTAGTGACAAAGCACGTACAAGGTCAGAAGTATGACCAAATGTGCAGAAACACAAGCAACATAGCCTGTATGAAATGAACGGAAGAAAACAGTTCTGGCAAAGTGAATGCTAGAATGTCACCTATGAAGCTACTCACCATGGGAGGTGGGGGAAAGCCATAAGCAGCTGCAGACAAAGGAGTGGGGGCAGCGAGATTTGTTTGCGAGTTTCGTGGACTGGATGTCAGCATAGACTGACACTTGGAATTTCTAAGACTGAGATTTGGAGAGCGTCTTCTGTAGGTGACATCCAGTGCTTCGAAAGACTGTCGTGTAGCAGGTTCCACCTGCAGAAAGCCAGTGAATGCATCTATATAAACATTAGTTACATTTAACAGGCTAAGCTGGAGGAAAATGCCATACAGAACAAGGGAATGCTTTACAATCACTGGCAACATCCAGAGTAAACATGCAATTCCTAAATACACTGTAAGTAGCACGAATTTCAGACAAATCTACATTTGTAGTTAACAAGAGAGCAGTAGAATTACATTTCTAAAGCATTGATCAGTAGTGTACAATCAGGTTGGAAACTAGCAGTTGCAGTCCAAATACAGTCCAAAATTTCATAGCAAGCAAACAAACCAGTGAAACTCCTCACAGATGAGCTCAAAAGTAAGATTGCAATGACATCTCACCNCCCCCCCTCCTCCAAGAAAAAAAAAAGAAAACAGAACTTCAGTTCTAAAGTTGAGGTAGAGGGGTATCCCACTGCTGCCTATATATCACCACACCTTATCACCATTTCTTTGGCACAGACCTATAATTGAAGTTAGGATCTATCCCTTGATAATTTACCTCTGGAAGTTCCCAAGCAGATGCTTCTCCATTGACTTGGTAATAATACACTCGTCCTTCATTGTCTTTTGAAGGCATCCACTTGAAAAATAATTACACAGAGATTTTATATTACAGTAAAATAATAATTGCATTAAATATGGTTAACTTTATGGCCCAATTCTTCCACAGGAGAGCTAGGACTATGACAATGATGATGAAATATGGTTAACTTATGAATTGGCAAGAAAGAGTTATGATGTCAAAATTATTGCATGTGCACGCATTGTACACGTTGCAACAAAGTTTTTTGGAAATACGCCAAAAGCATACTCACTTCTTCCTCATTATATTCATTTACATAAACAAGCTCATCAGNCAAAACTAAATATCTTTTGACACTCAAATGAAAACCACTCCAGAACTTCCACTTGCACTTGTTATCTAACTTTAACCTGGAGGTCTCTCTTCCCATATCCAGGTACATTGTAGAAATAATATATCTTATCAGGTACAGCTTACCCCAGGGCTTGAGGGAGGAGTCCTCGACCGTGATACCCTGGGGGGTTTCCAGCTTGTCTCACTAGTCTTGGTGTTGACATAGCATGGGCGACCACTTGCTTCGTCATGCATCAAAACCCAACCAACTGGAAGCGACTGTGATTTAGGTCGCTCAGGTCTTGGCAATGAAAAACTTCCTCCTGGACGGGCACCGGACTAAACAAACAAGTGAAATCAATAATTGTTATTAACTAAAGAAAACAGCCCAGTTAGGAAATATGCATGCTAATTGTTAAAACTCATGTTTCTGTTAATCAATTATATTATTCGCACTGGATAGTTGATGAGGGCGAAGCCGGAGTCAACTATCATGTACAGAAATCAAGAGCGAATATTAAATCTAATTCTTTTAGTATAAATCAACTAGTAATTCATAACTTTATCAAAATCCTCTTCACAGACACCTCATACACGTAAAGAAGTGGCTGTCATTTTGGTAACAAACACACACTGCTAAGCTACTCACTATCTACAACAAAATAGATAGGGAGTAACTTAGCCAATCAGAGAATGGCATTCATGATAGAACAATAGAAGATTAATATTAAAACTCAATAGAAACACAGAACTAGCACAAGATGTTGACATGATGGCGTGAGCAAAGAGAATTTACATTTTGATGATCAAATTAAACAAGCTGTTTTGTTTTTTCTTTCTTTGTTCTTTTTTTCACTAGTGTTCCCAAAGCATTTCTCATTCTCCCAAACTTCCACTTGGGCTTCCTTAACTCAATAGAAACAAAGAGCATGTTTTTTTTTTATTATTATTTCTTAACTAGATGTATATAACGGAGTGCAGCTGAAGCAGGCATTAACCAGTTAAAAACAGTAGACACAGCCACCCTCCCCTGAAAGAAAAAATTGGATAGACTTTGTGTTGGCATTGATAATCTTGTGCCTTGCATAAATAATTGTTATCCATGCATAAAACCATTCCAGTGAGTTAACAGCTGATGTGACAAGCAGAGACAACTATGGAACTTGCTCTCTGCATGTGATCTTTGCATGAGATAGTTAATGACTTGCAAGTTCACACATAAAAATAGACCACTCACAAAATAATTTTCTTGTCATAAAATGCTGATTACATCTGTTGGCCTGTCTTAATTTTCTAAATTTAAACCTCACTCACAAGGTGTAACAAAGTTCCATGGTAGTCTCTATGGTCAACTCTCGAGAAAAATTGACTCCCTCTGATTTTTTTTAAGGGATGATAGCTATAATAGGCTGGGAGCTTGTCTGCATTTCTATGTTCCAAATCTACTGGACACTCAATCATTATTATTATTATAGGTTTCGTCAGTCATTCCGTTATTACTGTAATGAAACTCTAGTAATTTTCCCTTCCTATGAAGTACTTTAATGCAACAAAATTAAGTGGCATTTGTAAGGGTGTCTACTTAAGTATTGAAATGCCAGCTCTGTATTGCAAAAAAAGCTCTGTGTTACATGCTTGTATGGGTAAGTGATGTGAATAAGCAATAAAATTAAAAGAAAACAATGCTGATGCTTCATTGGGTGGATCTGTTTCTATTAAGGTAGCTTGAAATAATGGCATATGTACTGATCACATGTATACACATTGCAGGTCAAAATAAAATTCAGGTTAAAATGATTTTAACCTAGTTTGATTCTCAATTTCCTTTGTCTTCTAACCCTGATAATATCATTCATGATCCATGAATAATTAGGGTTAAGAGACAAAGGAATTTCATTTTAACCTGAATTTCATTTTGACCTGCAACATACATATTGAACAGAGTGACTTTGGAAAGTAAAATTCTAAATTTTATTCTATTTGTACACTGCACTTGTCCAGTCTGAAAAAATTTCAGTTTCAAGGATAACTTGTAATTCAAGGAATAAAGTACTTTTCAAAATAGGCAGACATTCATAGACAAGCAGACTTTGGAAAGAAATTCATTTTCGCAATTTCCAAGGTTGACTTTGACCTGCTATACAATTATTAGTTGTTTGTATCAGACATCATAATTACATTATTGTAACAAAGTTGCTACTGAAATGGGTTCTTGACAGCTTATTTATTGGGGCACTGAAGGCAGGTCGTTTTACAGGTTCACGTGTAGGAGTTTCCGTCACACAAACAAAACCTCTCAACTACAGTTTAAAGCTGTAAAAATAAAAAAAAAAGTACATGTTCTTGGACGCAGACAACGTGCTGACAGAGCAGCTATTTGTGAGCATTTGGAAACCATCATAAAGCTGAGAAGCTGACAAGTCAAATTATTGCATGAATCTATTCATTTGTCATATCTAAGTGGGAAATAATTTATAGCCAAGAGCAACAAATTATGACCTCGATCTTTCCATCTACATCCTCGAAATTTCCATCCAGTACAATGAGGAAAGCTCTAGTTTATCGATGTATTGTTTACACTGTTATGGTTTGGTTAATACTATTGTCTGGCAAATGACGAAAAGATATCGGTATTTATGCTTTAAATAAAATCCTTAACGACACACAAACAAATGACAAGTTTTTATTGTCAAGTATCTTTGTGTAGAGTCAAAAGCTGGTTTTGAGGAGCGAAACCACAGTGTTGTGTTATGAATGATCACAAAATGCAATAGCTCTTGTCGACCTCTTTATACCGTTTACAGTAAGAACAATAAGATTTCCCTGGCGATCGAAGTATCGAATCGTGAACCGTACAAATTGTACAATGTCGTATTATATAAATGTTTTAGCTCTGGTTTCGCGAATCTAACTGGTAGAACTTTTGTTTTGTAATCTTATCTAGCGATATTGTTGATTTATAAAACAGGGTTACAAACAAGTTAAATTTGCTTTGATTCCCAATCACAACACAAGATCAGACAAAGGCCAAGCTTGTATCAAGTCGAATTCAAACCAAAATAGATGTACATATAAGCTTACTTATAAGTTTATTATACTCACCAATTCCAGTGACTTCGCCAGCGACTTGACACTGGATGAGGCACTTCTAAAACGAGGAGATTCAGTTGAATTCCTGGGTGAGCTTCCCTCTAGATTTTCAACTCCTTCGTTATTTTGATGATCGAAGTGATTGTCACCATTTGGTATCGAATTCTCTTCGTTCGAACTGTTTTCCTCCTCGCGGCTCTCCGAGCCATTTTCCTCCATAATCACGGATTCACCATTGCACGGGCGGTGGGTTTCAAAATTTTCGACATTTTCGTAAATTGGGGTAGTGTTTCTCTCGACAATTTCCCTCATGTACGACGCTGGAACGTACATGGGCTTCTCTGAACCCTTCCTAACCTGCCACCAATCACCGTTTGTCTTGTTTAGTAACGTGAAACGGTCTCCAGTAGAAAACGTAATGGTTCGTCCGTCTCCAGCTTCGTAAGAATAGGGATATAGAGCTTCAACTGTCCCATTAGCCATGGTGAGGCCTTTGTAGAAATGCTTTCCTCCTCAACGTAAACTCATTCGCTGGTTTTCGACAACTATAAGCTTACAAGACCCTGAAAAGTTAAGGACTTCTCCTATGTTATTGAAGATGGTAGCGCCATGTTGACAGCAGCGCTTTCACGCAATTCTTCCAGTAGTGTTTAGAGACCTTTCGATGAATGAATTAGCTGAAGTTTACTACGCTTGCTTTCCACAAAACCATAAAATAGTCATTCAAGCACCTTAAACCAGAGACGACATCCAAGGAAATAGGCCCATGTTCTCAAACGTCCAAGAACAATATTACCACGCAAAACAATCACGTTTTACGTCAAAAACCACATACATTGGTTTCGGTTGGAGCTTTGCACAATCGAGGACCTGACACTGTGGAAATTTCCGCATTTACAGCAATAGAAACCGCGATGCACACATCCGTCCGAAAAAAGCTTATATATTTCGCTCGACGATTTGCTAGCGCCTCGCTCCCAAGTGAGAGTCGAAAAGCGGAAAGGACTGAAAACTAATCGCGTGTTATCGGAAAGCGAAACGATATCCGAATATATCACGAACTTTTTCCGGTGGAAATAAACCAATGAGAAACCCATAAAAACAAACGAAACCAGTTCTCGGTACTAAGGATTTCCCGCGTTTCGCGGAAAGCAGCCGGAAGTGTGAACCTCCGAATGGAAGTTTTAATCATTGGGAGAAATCCCAGGTTGTATTTTTAGCTTTTGACAAAGTTTTGAGCATTATTTCTACCTGTGCGTGGGTCGACTACTTCTTACATCTTGTTTTAGCTCGTGGGAGTAAGGACAAACAGACATCGAGTTGTTTCAAATCAGCATTTTCCGCTAAAATTTGCTACAATGGATAAAATTCATAGGGAAGTGTTGGGAAAGATGACATTCAAAATCATGGGAAGGATTTCCAGTCCGAGAGTTTTTTCGGGATATCTTAGGGAAATATTTAGTCCCTCGGACGTAGAAGAAATTGCAGCGAAAGAAGCTCAGAAGGGGGCCATTCATGGAACACAGACTATGCTGAGTATACTGGAAAAGAGAGGACCCAAAGCTTACGGGCTTTTTGTAGAGGTTTTGCGAAGTCCTGACATTCGTCTAGACGATCTAGCAGATGAGCTGGAGGACGAAGAGAGTAAACTGCGAGGGAAGACAGGTATTTCTTCTGTGTCTAATCACTTTGAACGCGATCGAAATCTCAAATTACAGTCACGCCATGTTTAATTGTTAGTTTGGCCTGCAGAAGATTTCCTTCATTTTCGCAGACTTCCAGCTCCTATCCACAAAAATGACGCGATTCCTATCAAAATATATTTAGACAATTTCCTAAATGTTATGAAAGCAATTGTGCCAAAGTAGTATAACTATAGTGAACCCTGGTGGTTTCCATAGATATATGATTATTCATGGTTCATATACCCTCCCCACAATTTGAATCAAATTCCCCAGCGGGCGGAGGTGGGGAGCACTGTGACCAAAGGAACGTTGTACATCTAGGGCCACAGTATGACCTTTATAAACATAAAAACCAGTAACAATTCATCCAGAGCTAAAAATATACCTAGAGGGTCTTAAAACTCCAGTTTGCCGCTTATGACATTCAACCCAGCCTTATAAGGTTGGTCAGAGGCCACAGAGTATGCATGTCTCTACCAAGCAGAACTTGTGATGTACCAAACTGGATGAAGAAGAAGACACTTTATTTATGTGTCAGTAGAGGATCTAGCTCCTGAGTGACAAGGAGCTAATTTGGGACACAGTATATTAAAAATGAAAATTCAGAATATATGCTATTAATAAGAATTACCTAAAATATACTAATTAGAACTTCAGTAATTTAAAATATAGTAAGACATTAAAATACAATGTAAAAAGGATGATATATTGTTTTTACATTTTCTGTTCTGGTAGAGCCACCGATGCGAAGGGCACAAAGTCTTCCAACATCTGCTGAACCTGTGGAACCATATGGTGATGCAGAGGCCTGTTCCCCACCCCCTCCATATTCAGCACCAGCTGTGCAAAGCTACAATGCAGGAAATGGCTATGGAAGATTCAACAACAGTCATGGACAAGGGGCTAGGAACATTTATAAACAGCCCTCGATTCCAGAAATGAGCAATCAAGATAATCCAGAGGTGCTCCTCACTGAGGGTAAAGCAAATTTAATTCTTACAAGCCCATTGAGAATTAATCAGGTTTTGACAACTGTTGGCGGCCAAGTTAATAGAGTTCACCAACATAGTGACAGCTGCTAAAAACGTTCCAACGGATATACAATGGACACCTAACCGCTGAGCTTTAGAAGGCTTGAGGGAGTTACAAATACAGGACAGAATGCTGTTTATACAGACGCACTAATTTCACTGTGGCCGTGATGAAACAGATGTAGCTCCACTCCCTCCCTCCCCTCCCTCCTGAAATCAGTGTTGTTTGTAAAATGTTGTTTCTGTGAAACCATTTTTTAGCCCAGAGAAGACAACAACAAGCAAGGGGAGGAGGGAGAGGATGTAATTTATCCTATATTACGAAAGTTAAAGAGAATTTACATTTGTTTCAATAGGTTTTGTCCTGAATATTGTTAGTCAAAACTAAGATAAAATAATATCTTAGTTTTTCTTTGCCAGCTAGAACATTTGTATAGTGAAAAACTATGACTGGTCAAGTCTAGAAAGTGCTGCCCAAAGCCTGGGAGCATTTGCAAGTCCAAGGTCACAGTTTTTTCATTATAAAGACCAACCCTCAGCCGGTAAAGAATTTATTTCTTTTTTCCTCTCTCTCAATTCACGTTTGTAATGGTTGATCTTTTCCACACATAACACGTGTACATTACTGTGACTGTGTGCATGGATAGGAAAATCTGGATCATATTAAGAACCAACCTGGTTGTTTTGGCCTTATTGAAATGCTTAATTAGGGACACCTTCCTCACGTGCCATTGTCTCTTGGCACTTGCATCAGGTTTCTCCCTGATCATATCAAGTTTAGCATCATCTCAAAGGTCATTGGCAGTCTATTCTCGCTAGTTTTACCCTCCCTACTGGTTCCCTAGTTTCCATTCATTGCCTTGGTTCTCATTAAATTGTGTTTTTGCCCCAAACTTGTGCGTCTTTTTTATGTCTACTAATTATATTACAAGATTCATTACCCTTTATGGGTCAGAGAGGATTAACATGATATTTTCACTTTGTGCTTCTTTTCACCATAAATTCAGGCACTCTTATCAGGGACATTCCCTACCGTCTGCGCAACAAGATTGAGATGCTGTTAGATCCACCAGATGCAAATCATCATGACTGGCGGGGAATGGCATCTGTCATGGACCTGAATACCGAAGAAGTAAGACAACTGGAGAATGCCCGAGAAAATGGGAAAATGAAAGGACTTGTTGAAAGGATGATACAAAGACACAAGACTGTTAATGATCTCTTGGGGTGGTTGAAGCATCCTGATGTACAGAGATTGGACGTGATAGATGAAATAAAAAAGGAGAGTCATCGCATTTCCGAGCTGATGATAGAAGATAATGAAAGCTCTGAAGAACAGGAATCAGGTTTGCTTCTTTTTGTTGTCTGTTTTAATAGGCTATTTTGACCTGTTTAAAGTTATGCCATAAAATAAATAAATAAATAAAAATAAATAGATAACGATATCTAGACAGGAAGCCACATCAGCCTTAGCTGGTTTTCATGCAGGTCCTCCATCCTGGTCAAATTGGAATTTGGAGATGTTGGTTTTTGTGGAAGGGAGGAAAACTGGAGAACAGAGAAAAAACCCTTGGAGCAAGGCGAGGACCAATAACAAACTCAACCTGCATTTGGCACCAGGCCGTAATCGAACCCAGGCCACATTGATGGGAGGCGAGCACTCTCATTAGTGCGCCATCCCTGTTCCCCATCTTCATAGTGATATCTGTTTTTACTGAATATCAATTTTCAAAACATTCTATCATGAATTGACAAACTAATTACAGTCTATGAAACCTGTGTTAAGCTGACCCCATGTTAAGCAGACACCCTCTATTAAGTGGACACCACCTTGAGTCCCTGAATTTTCTTCCCATATTTGCTGTAAAATAAACCTGCATTCAGTGGACACCTCTGTTAAGGTGGCTCAAAACAGTTTCCAACACTTAGATTTTGATGGGTCATTATAACCACTCTTTCTCACTTGATGCTATAATCATGGAATCAAAAAACTGCGCAATCATTGGTGAACAAGTTGTTATCATTTTTGTGACACAGTAGGTTACCATAGCAACAGTATGACAAAAAAAACTCTGTACATGGGGTTCAGAGCCACCTTAAATTTTCGAAAAATTTAAGGGTCCATATGGAACAGCATTTTCCAGAATTTCCGGAAAAGAGGACAGGACAACCTCACAAGGTTTCAGAAATTAATTACCAGAAATTTGCATTCCATTTGATTTTCCTTGCATAATTTTTGGATTTTTTGGTTGTCATGGCTCAATCCTCAAAAATCCAACTGAGTCAGAAGGTATATATCATGCCACATAACCCTCCCTCCCCACCCCTCTCCCAAACACACCTATTAAGGCATGATTCCCTCTGTGCAAAAATGAGGTTTTCATTGAATATGCCACCCATTATTCCTCAGCTGTCGAAATAATAGTAATTTGAGCACCTTTTTCTCCAGTTGCTACAGCAGTGGTGTCTTCAGCTGAAGAAACCAGCAGCCCAGAAACAAAATCCAAGTCAATGAGAATTCCACAACAAGAATGCAGTCAAGATCCTCAGAAAATTGATAGAAAGCCAGATGCTCGCGTCCCCAGTCAGGTAGAATCTGATGACGATCCAAAAGCAATTGGAGGACAAACAAAGCTTCATGAAGAACAAGACTTGAGTGTAACAAGTCAGATGGATGATCTAGATATTGACAGCAAACCAGATTATCGGAAGCCCAGCCAGGAGGAGGGGAGTAGCAGCATTGCTGCTAATGATGACGATGTGTTTGACTCCACAGGTATATTATTGACACTGACAGTGAGTTCAAAAATTGAAACTCCGGTTGGTGTTCTGTATTGATAATTTGTCCTGATCCCAAGCTTAACTTGGGATTGTAAAGGTAGTTTTTCCTGAAAGTCTTTCTCTTTTTTGTCTTCCATACTTATCACTTCCTTCACTGTTTATCCATTATTTGATAACTCTTTTAATAACATATATTGTCCAATGTTGTTGATCTAGTATAGTAAAATTAGGTTCGCATTAGCTTTGTTTCATTATTATAGGCTAATAACATCAGAACTATCTATTAGGCATGTATTTAGAGATGATATTAGAATGTGACCTTGAGATCTCTCAGGGCTAATTATTTTTTAAGTCAACAGATGGTATCCAGTGGCAGATCCAGACCTTGAGCTAAGGTGGGGNTGATTTCTTCTTTTTTTACCCAAAATAAGGGGTAGATCCACCACTGGTATCTGTGTAGCGACTAAGAGCCTTAAGTGGCTAATTTCCAGATAAGCTAGGGTTGCAGGAACCAGCATGGGAAAAAAAATTGCAGACAACAGAGAATTGGGATCATGTGTACTAAAGGCATCCGCAGTCAGGTGTCGATTGATATCCTTGATCGGTACCCTCAATAGACTCTTGATCAACACTCGATCAGTACTCGATCAACACCTCAGAAATCACCCGAAATGTCGATCAAGACTTGATCGACATTTTGGTTGAGAGTCAACTAATTTTTGCAGAGATGCTACTGAGTGTTGATCAATATATATGAGTCAGTTGACACTCAGCTGACTGTCGATATACTGTCAATTGAGTGTTGATTGAGTGTCGATCAAGACATTGATCAAGTCGACTGAGTGTCAGCCAAGTATCAGTTGAGATGTCCGTCAAGTGTCAATTAAGATGTTGATCAAGTTTTGATCTAGATGTCAATCAACACTTGACCGCCGATGCCTTTAGTACACATGATCCAAGAGATGTTCTTTGGTCATTCATATCAGCATTACCGGCATATAAAAATGGAGTATCGAAGAGAAAACAGCAATCAAAGAAATCCTTCAACAGAGTGAGATGATTGAATGAGGAATTAAAGAAGTCAAGTTAAATGCGCAAACAGTTATTTTGACTAGCATAAGTGTACCTCTGACCATATTCTGGGTCAGTGATTTAACTGTAATGTCTGTTTAATTAACAGATTATGTGAAAAAGCAATTCCATGCGCTTTTAATCAGCTGCAGTACTGGAAATGACAAAGAGGACAAAAAACATGACATTGAACTGAGAAATTTGGAAGAGGAGCTTGAAGACTCCTGGGATGTAGGCAAGTGTAATCTCATTAGACTGTCACAGAAAAACATAAAATAAATTAATGATCTAATTATGTGTATAATGAAGGTTGTCACTTTTCATTATATTTGCATAGGAACATCAGGGAAAATATCAGATTTAGGTTTGACTAAGCCACAGGTTTCAGTAATCATTATGCAAATTCATTCCTGTTACATCCTGGTATGATTTGCAAGATTGTCCTCATATATGGGCTAATATACTGGCATCTAGGCAAATCGCCTGCCCCATTACCTTGATATGGGTACAGATGGTACCGTACTCACATTAATTTCATGCTAGTGCTAGAAAGTAGCACACAGCTACATGTATATCCATACCATTGAGGCTCAACCTATCCCACTGCTTGGGCATTGGCATATCATGACCAAGTACCCATACAAGTGCATCAAGACTTGGGAGCCCACCGGTAACTGGTGAGGGTGGGCATCCACACTTAAATGTAGGCCACCCATGCCATTGCTTGGACTTTGCACTTACATTTCACCACCAGTGCAAGTCATTAAGCACTTAATTAATGACTGGCCCCAAGGGAAATGGTGAGTTTTGTTTCTCAAGACCCTCAATGTTCACTGAGGCAAAGCCTTGAGTAACATTGAAGTTGAGGGGAAACAATAACTCATTGTTTCCATTAGGGCCAGTCATGAAGTGTTTGGTTATACCTTCCAACTCAAAGAAAAAATGGGAAAAAACTGTGAAAAAATGATTTACTTGATGCCACCTGGCATAACAAAATCGCCCTGGTTTCAAGGTGCACGACCTGATCACACTTGAGTCACAAGTTCAAGTTGTAATGTTTCGCTAGGGAGTTAGTGAGTTTTGTTTGTTCTAGGAAGTTAGTGAGTTTTGAACCACAACATGTGACATGTTCTTCTCCAATCAAAAAACATATTTGAGTTGGGAGGTGTAACAAAATTAGTTCATGCCTTTGTAATTGACAGGAATGAGCACACATAGGTGCTTGGACTCTTAATGTCTTATAACCTGTAATGCCACTGGTTGGGCAAGGATCGGTCTTGAGCAAATTAAGACTTGACACCCATACCAGTACTGCTGGCCTGTGTGTGGAGTGCATCCACACGTGGGATACCCATGCCAACAAATAATTATCAACAAAATAATTATCGTAAGTTGGTACTCATTGTTACTGCAGTTGAATAGTGTATGCACATTTTAAATTTTGCAGTGAAACGCCAAGCCAAGTGCAAAGTGTCAAATTTGATCCAAACTGTGCACTCATTTTTGATGAATCCTGGAGAGTCTGGAAAAATTGTCTCCTTTGTTTACCTGGCAGGTCCTACAGTGCAGGTAAGAATAATTTATTATCAAATTGGGACTCCACATTTAGCTAACATTTGCTTGAAATATATCTGACTGATTGAGTGTGGAGTGGTAAACAGTAAAAAGTTCCAGAAATGATATACATGTAATATTGTTAATAGTAACTGGACCAAGTGGAGTGCAATTCAGGGTTTAATCATGAAAGTTAAATTTCAAAATCGGAGAAGCGTGCACTGCGAGGCCAATTTCGAAGTACAAGGTTAGCATGATTACTCTCTGAATTGTAAAACACAAGATTCAATTACTAATTAATCGTATCAATAAAAAAATTGGAGTTTGGAAAAGTCTTTTTAGAATTACTGAGCATAAAAGTCAGTAATGCTGTCCAAATGTTTTAAAATTAAAAACCATAAGATGCATTAACAGGGATTAGCCATTAAAGCATACTAGGTAGTTGACATGCAAATTGCATATAAGTATCCAATTACAAAAAGTTGGAATTGGAAACCTGTAGTTGGACACCCATGTGATTGTGCAATGATTTCATGACAAAAACAGTTCTAGACACGATTAGTATAATATTGTAATCGTTGGATGGTGCTTCTCTTGCAGATAAATGGTGAGAATTACCTGCTTCCATCTGACCTCAAGAGTCCTTCTTCTCGAGCTGATCTCATGCACAGTTCCTTGAACATCAACTGGCTAGTGAAACAGCTGTGTGAAAATTATGTTCGTACTACATTTCTGATCTTTGAATAATCACCTAGTTCATATTTATTAGTAGTAGTCAGAGTGGGACCCCAATTTCTCTATCCCTTGATTTTTCAAACCTCTGAAAATCTAGTCAAGATGACTAAAAGTTGTTTCCCTACCCAGGTCAAACACAGTTTTACCCCAAGTTATCGAAATACCGAATTTTCAAACCAGTCTTCATTTCCCTCTGGAGATTCGAAAAATCATCCTCCCTTACTTTTTTATTTTTTTCATTTTTTCTATGCGACTTTATTTACAGCATTAACACTTACACTACACACAGCACTTCTGTTATACTTACAGATATACTTACGCTATACATATACTTACTTCTCACACTACTTATACTTAATGCACTACATGCAATGCATCCTCCCTTACAACAACACCTCTCAGTGTTATAATAAGTATTATAATTAAGGGTAGCAAAGAGATGGCCATCACTTTTGGGGCTTAATGTTTCTGAGAAGTACTTCCTTCTCAGTTGTAAACAACACATACCTTACCTTGCATTCACTGTTTGTTTGTTTTCCAGATGCAAGTAGTAATTGTAGATGGGGCTCATGAGAATAGTGTGAAAGACCTTAACTTGAATGGCGTTCTCCAAGGATTGGCCCCAATTCAGCCACCCCCAAATGGAATCATTGCTTTTCCATGTCCTCCAGGAACTATCCGTCCAGAGCAAGAAAGACTGTAAGTATCATGTATGAATATATCAGCAGTTAATATACTTCATGACACAGTGCAGTCTTTACATCACCAAATATGAATGAAACTGCATGTTAGTGAAACATTTTGATTGCCTGGCCTCGCATTTTCTTGTTTATTAACTTGGCTTTTGCTTATTCCTGCTTTTGATCGAATTAATACACGAAGCTGCCAATTTTTCTTATTTTTTGATTTGTTGCCATTACTTTTTCTCGCTGGTTTCACTTTTTAGTTGATTGCTCTAACTTCTTATTGATGATAAACTGTGATCTCAATTTGATTGAAAAGATTCAATTGATGTACATAGTTTTAAGAGCTTTTTACCTTGTAATCTTTTCAGTAGTTTATTAGCTGTATATCAAAGATGTTTAAGTGGCTGGATCTGCTTGCTACTTTTAACAATAGGTGAAACAGAAAGAAGGCTTCTTCTTTCCAACTGCTTGAATTGGAAAATTTACTGCGATGATCATTCTTCACTTTCATCTACAACCGCAGTTCAAATGTGAATTATTTCATATATACTTTACATCAGAAACAAAACTGACACCAATATATTTCATGAATTAAAGTAATCATAAGTGTTCAAGTGGAAAGCTCTTTAAATGGAGAGCATATATTCTAAGAACATATAACATATCACTTTTATTATTAGAATGTTAATTGGAAAACAAACCTCTCTTGGCACATTTTATGTATTGGGCCTTCTATTTTATTTCTTAGAGCCTATGTAAAAAGTGTGGTGAAAAACTTGAAGGAGGAGTCAAACATGATGTTAGCTGATCTTTTTGAGAAAGTGCGAGTAGATTTGGCAAGTCAGTCTGTCAGCTCTCCTGTGGAATTTTCTCGCACCACATCTCCACTACCAATCTGTGTCAATCCAGAGGATATGCAAGGTCAGTGAGTTATTCTGCAAGAGAAAAGATTCTGAATTTTACTAATCCGTTCCTACATGATCAATGCCTTATTGTACATTATGATTACATGTCTAGTTGGTGGTGCAGTAACCTGATAGTTAAACCATCTGATCCTATGAGACATCCTTTAGGCTCATCATGCTCTCAAGGAGTGCATATGACAAGCAGGCTATTTAAAACACGAAATGGCAAAATGACGAAATGGTACCCCATACTATGGTTAGCCTGAATAGCACTCGAGTTAGCCTAAATATCACTGACTCGTCAGTTGTTAGCTCTCAATAATTGTAAGCGTCAACCCTTACAGGCACCTGTATCCCACATTGACTCTTGCCCGTAGCACCATTTCGTCATGTTGCCATTTTGTGTCTTAAACATGCCCTGGCATGCTCAGCCATAAGAACATCTGCATAATAAACTACTGGTTGGCAGCACATCCCCATGCTCACATCCTGCCTTCTTTTTTTTTTTTCTCATTCTAAATCTGTAGGTCTTCATGTGGATTCCTCTGAAGGAACAACTTACCATGCAATAATAGTTGCAAACGCCAATTATGAGGGACGCACCGTTGACACAAAGCAGTGCATCAAGGACCGAGAACAACTTCGAATGGCACTGTTAAAAAATGGATGGAAATGTGGTATGTTTTAAAGGAAAATTGTACTCACCTCCGTAGTTAACTATTTGGTATTTAGCTGTCAGTGGAGTTCAGGCCCCGGTTGTTTGAAGGTTGGATAACCCTATCCACCAGATAAATCGCCATCTAGCGGATAAGTGTTAACAAAACAAACCATGCTATTAACTGGATAGTGATTTATCTGGTGGATAGCATTATCCATCCTTCAAACAATTGGGGCTTGGCCATTTGTTAGATGGTTGTTGGCCAAATGCTGACTGACATGTTAAAGCAAAGTTCTAATGACTTTCATCATCATCAACTCCACTCATCTTGCAACTAAGGTTATGCCTCCAGTTTCTGGGGGGAGGAGACTTTGAGCCTAAAAATGGAAATGAGAGTGTTTTTTAATTGTTATCTCAAATGCACGCTAAAGGATACTTTGACAGCTAAAATAGTGGTGTTTTGTCCTGAGCACTCTAAGTGAGACCAAAATCCTTGATTTAAACCCTCAAGCGAGATGAGTAGCATCCCCGACCTTTTCATATGGAGTCTTCCCCCCCCCCCCCCCCNTTCTAATTTCGTCCTGTCTTTGAGCAACCAGCAACAAAATTTTCGAGATCTTTCGACATTCATGCAAGCACACCAACAAACCGCCAGCACCTCCACCTCCCCCCCCCCCCCCCCCCCCCTTCGGGTCATTAGCTCTGTGCCCAATACCCCAACCTGGAGGACCAGGAGATCACTCTTTGTCTGGTGTCTACCCTTCGACATGGGTGACCTTATGAGAAGTGCAAAACTCCTGTTGACATAGCTCTAAGAGTTGTCATAAAGACATGCACCCTGCCCCACCACAATGAGTGACCCCATTCAGAGCAGTTAAGTGACTTTAGTACCCATTAAACTTCATGTATAAGTTGGTCATCAAGATTTAGTGGAAATAAGCAGTGAATCAATGCTTATTTCCAAGTAATGGAAAATTAACCTTAGCTTCAACTAAAAATACAATTACAATTTATTACACATGTTAGAAAACGTGAAATAGGCGAAAAATATGAAACTTGGAGCGGAAACTATTCTGTCCATTTTATATAAAGGCTTGTTAAATCAATGTTCTTGATGGAAATGTATTTTGATAATTAGGTCAACTTCTATTCTCTCCTTACAAAACATTGCTAAGTAGGTAGGTAATGAAAGTGAGCAAAATGATCAACTATGATTTGTAGTCTTGATGGACGCTAAATTCTCAGAACTTATATAGAGGAAATAAATTATCAACAAGTTAGGAGAGGTATCATTTTGAGCTGAGTCTGAATCAAGCCTCATTTCTTCTTACTTTCTATCTTAACAGAGCTAGAGGCTTGTGATAAACCAGCAAAAGTTATCATTGAAGAGCTGAGGAAGGCTATAAACAAGTTGGCTGATGACCAGAAAAGAGTTGTGATGGTCTATTTCATGGGCTATACTAAAATGGTATGTTTTTCGTAACATGGACATTCGCGCAATGCCCCCCCCCCCTCCCCCCACATTTGAGCAAGTAACAATTGAAATGCGACTCGTTTTATCATTTATGTCAAATCTTAATGAAAATTCCCATGTTTGATTCTGTTTCATTTAGGTTCCTATATCGTCAGGAGCAAATAAAATAAAACAATATAAAACAACGTGTACCAACTTACGTGGACTTGGCCGGCTCGACCCAATTTAGATATTTTCAGCGCGTTTTTGGTCCTCCACAAGCAAAGTACCAGCTTTATCTCAGTTGAAATGAATTCGCTTATTGCCGAGGAAATCTTTTAAAGCCAATATTTAAGGTGCTGAACTCACCTTAGCTACAAATTTTAAAACAAAGCGAAGAGGACATTACTACTCATTCTCAGTCGAAATTCGCGCGAGTCTGTCTGATCACGTGCTCAACTTCGAGCTGACTTGTCCCCAGTCTTCTTCATACATCGCACGGCCCGGGCGCGATGTGGGAGCGCAAGCTGAGGTAAAGAGGGGGGAAAGAGGGGAATACTTGCCCCTTCCCATCACCCCTCGCGCTTCTCACCTTGCTGAGACTGGACGGCTTATTTCTTTTGATAAATACAACTATCATGCTTTGTATCATTGGCTGCGTTTCCTTTGGGAAGAACCCGATCAGGATCTGTAATCGAAGATTACTCGGACCATGGTACATCAGAGGAACCGATCAATCCTTGTCCAGCGGGAATTTATCGATTACCGTTGACATGCCATGAGCCGAATGCTCTTCGATCATAAATGTTGTTCCGGATCTTCCCCGAAGGAACGCTAAAGCTGAGCTTGTATAATCTGAGATTATGCGTTCTTTTTTCGCCGCCGCGGAGCAAAGAACTCCTTAATGCATGTCAAGGTTTGTTTTGCTTGTAAGGTAGTAAATAAAGTCAGTGCTGTTAGTTCTCTGACTAGCGGAAGTGCTCGGTTTTTTCAGTCTTGAACTTACTTGTATGCAGTAGGTGAACTGTATGCAGTTGGCGATTGAGACCCAATAACTTCCAATCTTTTGTTACAGAAACGCATTTATGCAATGCATTTTCTTTCTTTTTATTTTTGTCAGATAATGGACATTAACTATTTCTTTGGAAGTGATTTCACGGCTTTTGCAGCTGAACCTCTCCGCTCGAGTGTACCCCTTCAGTGGGCGTTGGATCTCATGTGTGAAAAACTGATTGGTGTAAGTAATTTCCTTTAGTTGTTGTTGTTTCTTTGAAAGATCCGGCTTTCAAGATCCTCGCTCCTTATCTACTTATACCGTTTGTTTTTTCTCACTTGTGCTGGTATATCCTCCCTACGTTGCTGTTATTTGAGTGGACGAGGAATTCCGTAACCTAGGAACTGGTGCTCATTTTATGGCATCACGCGCGCGAGCGACAAACCCGCAAGAGAACGTGTAAACACCGCTCGCACGTGTTTGTTAAAACGTGAGCTAGCTCGTGTGGTAGGAATTTTGCCCCAGAACGATCGAGAAGTTTGTGTAGTCGTACCAGATTAGTTAGCCTGAGTAGCAGGCGTAAAACAGGGGATCTGGAGAGGAAGAGGGAGAGCAGGGATAGAAGGAGGGACTGTGGAAGAGAGGAGGTTCCTTCATCCTTCCCCTTCTTGCGTTTTTTGCCTTCCTACTCCTTCCCTGTACGCCTGCAACGTAGACTAAGATTGGTAAGTTCATGGAAACGATCCCTTGTACGAAGGAGTTGAATGGTACACAGAAAAGCTTGATTTGAAGGTATCAGTGTTGCACATTTTCTGCGCGGTCTCCCCAAGGCGCAGATTTAACACCTCCCGTCCTGGGTGGAGGAGGGAAAGTTCTCGTATCGGAGTGCACGACGTCAGACATGACAATATATTTTCTTTTGCAGAAAAAGATTTTGATAGTCGATGATCTGAATACATCCAGTACAGAAGGCCTGGCGGAAATGAGTGCACCGCTGGACGTCATGATTAGCTTACCCAAAGGAGCCCGAAGCGACCCTAATTCCAGGTTCGTGAATTTCATTGGAAAATGAGGCTGAAACAGGACTGAGACAGACTGAAACAGGACTGAACAGGACGAAAAGGACTAAAACAGGACTGAGAAAGCACTGAAACAGGTCTGAAAATGACTAAACCAGGACTGAAACAGGACTGAAACTATGTGCAGTGCATGTTTTCATATTCATGATCAATTGTGATATGACCTATCAAGGTAGATGAAAAATATCAGATAAATGTTAGAGAAAGGTCAATTCCAGCCTCACACACCATGCTTTTTTCTTGTAAAAGAGCTGTGAAGTTATGTGGTTTAATCCAATGAATAATCTGAAAACATGTGCTGGGAACGCAGACTTTTGCAGCCCGATGATGAGCTTCACCGAAAATACGTTCATCAAAAACCCTCTTGAACAATAAGTTCTTCTATTTTCGGTTTTCAGTTTTGTACTTATTTACTTTAGCTTAACTTGGTTGTTGTTCCGTCTTCCATCTTTTTTAAAGTCGAAGTAACTGGCTCCGTATTACAGTCAATCCAAGTGAAGCGTACCCCTCAAGATTACATTAATGAATTGATTATTTGAATATTGAACCCGCTAGTCCTTTCAAGAATGCAATAATGAGCTGATTATTGGAAAATTGAGCCCACTAGTCGTTCCAAGAATACGGCTAATGGGTTTAATGTTCAAAAAAATCAATTTAATATTGATTTTTGAAATGACTAGCGAGTTCAATATTCAAATAATCAATTCATTAATGTAATCTTGAGGGGTACGCTTCACTTGGTTTGAATGTAAAACGTGATTTCTATTTTCTGTCTTACAAAATGTCTTGACACCACCTTGCTGGCACTTAGGGACGTAATTTCAGTCTTGTAATGCACTTGCGGAACATCGAACAAAATCGAACAAAATCAATAACAGAATCCTTAACTATGATAAAGACATCAATGATCATCGCAGTTGTATACTCATTTTAGCAGCTGAGAAATCATAAAGCCTGAAAACAATTCACTGCACCCGTATCGCAGAGGTTATGGGCTTGAATCCCGATCAGGCCTAAATTTTTTTCAGGCTTTAATTTCACAGCTGCTTAAGTTGCGTATATAACTGCGTTGATCATTGATGTCTTCATATCTTTCTCCGCAATTCAAATATATGATCTTTCGTATTTTCACTTGCGAAATTCATAACTCTTCATTACATCCAAGGTACTTTAAAGATCGCGATAATGGTTTTAATATTTTGTTTTCTTTCTTTCTTTCCATTCAGCAGCAGGCAGCGTGAAGCAAGTTTTACAAGTAACTTTGCTCGTCTGCTGGAAGCTAAAGCCGGCCAGTTGCCTTTGAAGGAGATGGTAAAGAGAGCTGCTCGTGCGTCATTCGACCAACACCGCCTCAGTTCAAACTTATACCATCCAAAATAAGGCAATTCCCGTTAAATAGCATCATAAAAAAGAGTACTTTAGCTTTAAAAGCAATATTTATATTACACCAAATTAAGTACAATATGGAACAAGTTTCGAATGTCTTCCAATTTACATCGCGTCTTCGCTCTGACCAATCAGAGAGGAGCAACTTAGAACCCGCGTTCTTTTTTTTGCTGGCTAGTAGTAGTAGTAGTAGTAGTAGAAGGGCTTTATTCAAGTGTCGAGGTGTTTCAGTAGCTTTTGACAAACTAATTGGGGACACTAATAAAATCTTAAGTGGATACATTAAAATTAAGACATTTACACATACACAAGTAGAAAAATCTAAAAGGTAAAAAAATCTAGCTAATTATTACACGTGCATGCTAATTGAGGACACAAACAGAATAAAAAAATAGGGTATTTACACAAATACAGGTAAAAAGATCTAAAATCTTTTAAGATCTAAAATCTAAGATCTAAGAAAGATCTAGGCTGATGTTGACTAAACCTCTTGTTTAGTTTTCCGTTGGAGACGATCGATTTTTGTGTGTTTATCCCAGGGTGACCAGCTAGTTAAACATGTAAATCAAATATAGGCTCAATTTCCGCTGCTCCCTCGGGTCGGTGTAAGCGCGGGCTCATTTCCCGAAACAGCGGCTCTTAGTCAACCTACATGAAACTGCAGGACTTTTATTGCATAAATGCCAATATGTTGCAGTTTTATTCTGTGGAGGACTGATATTTTAGCCACAAGCATTACTGACCAAAACAGATGACGTGTCCCGAGGGCAACAATTTTGCGTAAAAACTTTCGGTGTGCTAACAGACAACTAAAAATAACTGAAAGTTTTCTACATGAACTGATCAACTCTGCTCTTTCGCTATCGACTTAATTACTTTATCTTTTTAGTGGGAAGCGTCAATGTTGGATTTATGAGCGTTTGTTTGTTACATAGGACGGTATATTTTATGTGACTAGCTTTTGAATTAGCAGACAAAGGGAATATGACATTAGTTGTTCCTAGTCCTATTTAAATGAAAAGGAAAACTTTTATTTCCTCACGTTAAAACGTACTTAAGCTAATATATTCTAGGTCGATTTTTAGCACCAAATATTGAAATTTCGGAAACTCATACCATGAGAATAAACGTTTTTCTTTATCACAAACTGCAGTTACATATTGCAGAGTTGTGGGGTGTCCTCTTCGTATTGACCGATCTGATCAAATTCAATCCCAGGCTCTCTTTCCCAGTCCTCCCTTGGTCGACGACAATGGTACATCCTCGTACCCAGAGCTACTTTTCCCTCTTAGCTGGTGTGGCATGGCACGAAGGAAAGGTGACTATGGAAACAATCAAATTAGTTGTCTCCAGATCCGGCTGTTGGGAGGAGAAGACGACGTAATATATCAAACACGAGAGACAGTGTCTCATGTAATATATAAAACAAAGATCGTGTTTGACAACATTTCCAAACACCGAGAAGAGAGTTGAAAATGCGACGCGTAGCGGAGTATTTTTGACGAACTTCGAGGTGTTTGGAAATGTGGTCAAACAATGTCTTGAGTGTTTGATATATCTTCTCAATCGAAACTAAAACCAAGGAGAAAACGGAGAAATGAAATCGTAGAAATTTATGCCAATTAAGATCAGATATCCAAACACAGTCACGGTTATGATTTCCTTTGTTTAAACTTAATGAATTATTAATGGTTTGAGAAAGGGATATCCAAACACCGAGAAGAGAGTTGAAAATACGACGCGCAGCGGAGTATTTTTGACGAAATTCGAGGTGTTTGGATAGCCGATGAAACACTCTCTCGAGTGTTTGATATATCTTCTCAATCGAAACTAAAAGCAAGGAGTAAACGGAGAAGTAAATTTGCCACGGTTGTGATTTTCTTTGTTTTAACTTGATGAATTATTGATGAGTTTGGTGAGAAAGAAACAGGAAAAGGAGAGATCGACGGCCTGGGATAACGGTTGTAAAAGACATTGATATACAGTAGAGGCTCTATTAGGGGTTTACGGGAAACGTGATAACAGGACACAGGATATTTGGAGGAAAACTTCAATGGGATATTATATTTAGAGCAGATATCCTGGGATATGGAGTAGGAAAACTGGTTAAGATGTTTGAATTGTTAAGGTAACGGGATACGGGAAATTTTGTCCAAAAATTAACGGGATATTGTATACTCAGACCCCCTTCCCCTTAGTGGGGCCTCACAATAGTATCCGGAAATTCTTGCTTACAATTCACATGATCCTTATAGACATTAGGCCCCAGTTGGATGGAAAGATGAATGACACTTTCCGCTGGATCAGACATGCTATCCAGTTGGAACATTGTAACAAAACAGATCAGAGTTCAATACGACTCTCCATTTTGCTTCCCACTCATTGGTTCAAACCTGTCCTCCATTACCCTGAATGCGTGTCCGCTGTCAGGATGATTCCGCAGTAACACGTGTGGCTCAATATGTAGAGGAAACAGTATCGAACTTCGATTTTCTCCACCTTATTTTAGACCTGAGCCAGAAAAATTTGATAAATTCGAAAATTGAGAAATTCGGCCCCTGGAAATTGAGAATTAAAAATTCGAAAAAAAAAAAATCGATATTCGCAAGCATTTGAGATTTCTAATGTTAATTTAATCCACTTCTCAAGAAATAAATAGCGACTTAAAAATAGTTTCTTCAAAGAATTATACCTAACTTACCTGCTAACTAGTACGCACAAATCACACTCTTTACAGACTATAATGCATATAGTGGAAGTCTGTAACCTATTTCAAATCAATAAGGCTCAAAAACCATTTACTCTGGTGCTACATATGCCTTTTTAGTTCATATAGTAGTAATAACCAAAGGTTAGGCAGTGCGGGTGAGATGGATGGAAGGAATTGAAAGATTAATAAAAATTTTATCAGACGTGATATAATAGCCATACATTGATGTAGTTGAATCAGCATCTGGTATGCGTCAAGGTTATCTATAAGCCAGTTTTGATGTGATAAAAGCCTAACTTGGCAGGGAGACTATTTAGTTCATATAAAAGAGATCTACCTCCTCTACGCTGACGTGGCCCCTAGAAATAGTTTCAGCAGGACACAGGGAGCCCTCACATCCGTTTAGAACATGAATAAAAGATGAACCTACCTTTATCGCGCGTGTTTTGTGTTTTGTGGCGGCCATTTTGAATTTTTAATACGCGCGCGGTGTGCTAGTGCGAGGTCTGGAACCGAAATTACGGAAAATCGCTCGGAGTCTGCTCGGAGCTCTAAGAAAATGACAACTTATCACTTTATTATCCTCGGTGAGCGATCGGCTACCTCCGAGAATTTGCGAATTTTCCCGCCCGTCCCAGACGTCCGTAATTTCGGTTCCAGACCTCGCACTAGCACACCGCGCGCGTATTAAAAATT